AAACACACCTTAACCAAGCAATCAGGTGTGCTACATGCAATAAACCTTAAGGAGAACAGTCAGATTTTTAAGGACTTCTGGAATATTATTAGGGCAGTAGTACATGGAAATCTGGGATTAATATCCTTTCAGAAAACAGACACAATGTCAGAAGAAGCATTTCTCCAAGACTCCAGCAGATGGCATTATTTAATTAAGGGGATCTGGAATACACCAACCCTACCCAATCTTACCATGGGAACTAAACCTTAGGAATTAAATGGTACTTTGAATAACATATCATTATATCATGACAAGATTTATAGGTGATAAACAGCAGTTTGAACTATAACCGTTCAAAATAGATTGCAGTTCCCAAACTAATTCTGAATCTGTCTAATGTATATTAAAATCAATTGTCTAGACAAGTAAGAGCATGTGCAGGATGACATAATCCTGAAAATGCCATACCTTGCATTATTCCACCAATCCTGAAACAGTATATAATCACAGGATTGGTATAATCACATTATTGCAGTTTGCTGCTAAGCTGCTGCTTGGGAAACTACATACATAAATTGTTTTAAAACAAAAGAAACTGACAGAAAAGATAAAGTTAATATTTTAGCTTTGGCTGAAGTAAATTTAGCAATTTCGTATTTAAACTGATAAAGTGATAATTTACTCAAACAAAGCTGCTGTTATTAAATTTTGCATATAACTATAAGAAATTCTATAAAAAAGAAACACTGAAAAATGGAAATTTATTTATAACAAATAAAACTATTTAAAATAACACTCTTGCTCTATATAATGTTATGTCCATCATTAAAGCTGTTTGTTGCCCCAAAACTCATACCTGAATAATTTCAGATTAGAATGAGAATTGATTATTCTAGATTTACTGTTGATACTAACCTAGTATCTGTTGACTATCTCAAAGTATCTGTGGGGCAAAGGAAAAAAATTCTGAATGTTCAATGCTAGATTTTAACATTAATTTCCTGATCAATAACAGAAATATTTGGGGAGAATAATTTTTTTCTTGCCTTTTAAGATTGCTTTTCAATTTCTTTAGTTCTTTATGTCATCTAATATTCAGAGCACATTCAGTCAGTATTATGATAGTGTAAGATAAATCAGCCTTTTCTAAGATGATACCTTTCAAATGAGCTAGACTACAACTCTTAGTTGCAATCCAACACACCTATAGGATACCAGCCTTGAGGATTACTGGTTAGATTGTCCATTTGAACCTTCCTGAGTCTTAACACTGGGGAGAACCCCCCCCAACTTGGATTTGTCATTAAAAATATCTTGACAGAATTACTTTTTAACAGCATTGATTTTTGATATGATAGGTTCAAACTTGGATAGCAAGATGGTGGCATATAAATTTAACAAATAAATAATAATAAAAACAATTCTTTAAAAAATAATCTATATATATAATTACAATAAAATATTAAGAATTATAAAATTTGGGAGCATCAAATCAGTATTTAAAAAATGTGAGAGAAGTTTCTGTAATAAATTTTATATATGTATGTGTCCAAAAAGGGAAGAAAAAGTGGTTAATATTCTTCCAATTGTCAGGCACAGATACAATCTTCCCATGTTAAATAAGTCACATAGCTATTCCATAAATAAGCCAGATGTATATGTTAATATTTATACAGTTACAATATCTACAAACTCAGTCATATTTGAATAGCATTTTATTCAAAACTTAAAATGTAACTGATATAGATGTGTAGTCCAAGAAGACATACCTTTAAGAAAAATATGGTATCTTGGACTAAAAGTTTTGATAACTCCTAAAAATATTACTCTAAAACATATTGCTGGATCTATGTCAACCATCTCTGGCAAGACCATTGGGGGCGAAACACTGGCCCCGGTGGAAAGGGCACGCAACTTGGGCGTCCTCCTGGATACCCGGCTGTCGTTAAATGATCATATGACGGCCGTGGCCAGGGGGGCTTTTTATCAGATACGTCTGATACGCCAGTTGCGCCCTTTCCTGGATCGTGACGCCTTGCGCACACTCANCCTCCTCAGGGTGCCGTCGGCCGGACAATGCCGGCTGGTGACCCCCAGGGGGAGAGCCTTCTCTGTGGCAGCTCCTACCCTATGGAATGAGCTGCCCCCTGACCTCCGTACAATGGGGGACATACGCCTCTTCCGCCGAGCCCTAAAGACCTATCTGTTCCAAGAGGCTGGTCTGGCATAAATCTGAAATTCTAAAATTATAAATTGGGTATAATTTTATATTATTATAGTGGGTTTTAGGACAGGACAAATAATTTAATTAGTTTTGAATATTTTTAAATATTATGGTATTGCTGTTTTATTAATGTGCCTGTTCACCGCCCTGAGTCCCGCAAGGGAGAAGGGCGGTATATAAATCAAATAAATTTGAATTTGAATTTGAAGACAGTATTTTTCTCATAGGAAACAATAATTAAATCAGTGTCAGTTTATAAAAATAACTTTCCTGTACTATAAAAATACATAGGGAGAAAGTACATTCTTCTAAATATTAACGCAAGTATGTTTCCAGAGTTAGAGCAACTCAGGTAATAATGCCCAAACTGTTATATATCAGTATTTCTTGAACTTGGTTTTACAAGTTTTTTTCAGCTTAATTTTGGCTACAGTGCATTACCAAACACTCTTTTATGAAATCAGTTAAAAATCTAGGGTTGCATTTTATATATTAAACCTGATTTAGTCTTAGTTACTTTTAACTTTAATTAAATGTTATGATTTAGTATGTTCCATGAACCTAGGCTGTTCAATTAGCTTACAGTTCAGTGTATTGTGCAACCTCTAGAAAATAAATTAAGGCAGTAATCAAATGAAGTACATGGATATACTTAGCATATCAAGTTCAAGATGAGAACAGTTAATAAAATACACTACAAGTTATTCAAGAAGCTGCTAATCAATTATTTCCTTTAAATACTGTAGCCTGTTTCCACAGAAACATATAGCAATAATACAAAACCTCATATTAAGAATAAAAATACATGGTCTTGACATTTTTAGGGAATTAAATAATACGGAATTGTTAATAAAATATTTGTTCATGAAATAATTAAAAAATAATCTTTAAACAAAACATTGCTTTTTTAGTGTAAACTAGAATAAAATCATAATATTTTCACTGACTGGGATCCAGGAGACTATATAGATTTCAACATTTTCACTGAAGTGTTTTACACACCCACACACCCACAGACATACAAGCTTCTTTCTGCAACTTCTTGTACCATGAAAAATTGGTTCTACATTATTGTTGCTGCTGTTATATTTTTCTATGTGATGAAATTCTCTGAGTGGTTTGCAAAGTTATTTAAGATGTTAATAATAATAACATATTAACATCAATTATTAAAATCCATATGAAGCAAATATTATTAAAATATAATATGTCAGTTAAATGAAGAAGCTTAAAATCAAAAACTAATTACAAAAATGTTTGGAAGCATCAGGGCAATGGCTTTAGATTAACACTGAAGAAAGAGAAATTAATTTCGAAGGGGACATCATTCCATAGGTATGTCTCACTGTTGGGAAAACACACTTCTACGTATCCATCCACTAATTTCATATATAGTTCTTTAATGAAGATAGCAGGTTCTCGTGCACGCTTTAAATGTAGATAGGCAAAAATGATTTAATTAATAAGAATGGTCTTCTGATTTCACAAATGTGCATTTGAAAAAGTTCTTAGAACTAAGTTTTCTGTTCCTAAAGCATTCTTATGGATCTCTTAAGCAGCATGTATGCTATAAAATTCTATACATAATTTACATGATGAGCACTGTTAGACTAGCACTATTAGATTAGATTAGCACTGTTAGATTAACACTGTTTTACTAGTACTAGCACCGTTAGACTAGCACTGATAATGTTACCTAGTTTGGGTAATGAAACATCTGCAAGAAAACAACTAAGCTCAGAGAGCACCAAGGACCTTTCATTTCAACCCTGACCTACAAATATTCTCCTTTATTGGTAATGTACGTTATCTTTGAAGCAAATACTTGATGTGTAATAGTATAATAGTATGGACTTTATGAAGATGTACATATTTAATTTCATAGAAAAGAAATTAAAGCAAACTATATTATCTTAACTTCATTTTTAAGGTAGCTTACATTTGTGCTATTTAATTGAGTAAAAGACACAATTCATGTAACCGTTTAAATATATATATCAATCATATATATCAATTATACGTAGTCCTTGACTTATGACCATAACTGAACCCAAAATTTGTTGCTAAGTGAGACAGTTATTAAGTGATTTTTTCCCCATTTTATAACTTTTCTTACCACAGTTGTTAAGTGAATTACTGCAGTTGTTAAGTTAGTAACATGGTTGTTAAGTGAATCTGGCTTCTCCATTGACTTGGTTTGTCAGAAGGTCACAAAAGGTGATTACATGATCTGGAGATATTGCAATCATCATAAATATGAACCAGTTGCCAAACATACAAATTTTGATTACGTGACCATGGGATGCTGCAATGGTCATAAGTGTGAAAAATGATCATAAGTCACTTTTTTCAGTGATGTTGTAACTTTCAAACAGTCATTAAATGAACTGTTTTAAGTCAAGGACTATCTGTATAAATTGGTATACACATCAAATCAATTATTCAACTCATTAATTGATATTTAAATCTAATTTTGCAGAAATATATGTAAAATAAAGAATATTAACTCTCACAAAAGTAACTTCAGCAAATGAATGGAAAATGCAAACTTTCAAATTATTTTAATTTTAGCTGATTTACCCCAATATTATACTAATTGTTGAAAGAAACAATTTCATTAATGCAAAAATCACTGTGATTTCATTAAAAAGTTCTTTAACAGTGTGGATGTAAAATACATTCAAATAATAAAATTTACTAGATAAATGAAGAATTATGATATTATGTTCATAATTATATATTAAGATTTAAGAATATATTAAAGAATTGAGCAGTAGCATAATTAACACTATACCTTGATTTCTTCTATTTCATCTGGCACTATCTTGTATGCAGATACAGTTCCACCTAATCTGAAATTTGGAGAAGAAAACATTCTCAAAACCAGTAACACATCAGTAAACATATGAAGAAATAAATATGTTAATATTAACAACAAAAACTATCACTGTGATTAACATCTAGGATGAAACTTGGTTGGCCAAGGAATTTATGCATAGCAGCAAGAATGTATATCTTGAATACAATAAGTGAGGCTTATGTGTTACCAGATGTAGTGGGTGTTTTTTCACAGAAAGGTTTAATGAGGAGCTTACTACAATTAGGTTTGAAATGTTGAATATATATTTGCTGAATTGCTTATTTGCATATTACAAATGTTTCTTTACCATTTTCTTTTTGACATGTGCAAGCAGCAGATGTTAACAAATAGTAGAAACAGCTTGAGCATTATTTAAGTCTTATGTGTGAAAATACAGTGTGTTGTTTGGCATTCCACTTTAACAGTATCAAAAAATGGAGTCTCAACTGTAACCTATTAATATAACTAATAATATCTGAGTAGAATTCAAATACTACAGTATGTCTCAAATTTCATGCCTTCTATTTAAGAGGTCTTCCATATTTACTCCATAGAAGATTCATATTCAGACTGTTTGCCCAACTATGGCAATGGATCACTGTATCCTTTCTGTACCTTCTTGGTACAGAAACTATTCCATGAACCTTGAAGGCTTAAAGGATAGCTTCCCTAAAATTTCTCCTATGCCTCAGATACACAGCAACATGAGACTTGAACAAATCTTCAAAACTTATGAATAGTTTAAGAATTATAGCCAGCATCACATATACTGAAAATGTTACAAGATCTGTTCTAGTATGTCACATTAAAATTGTAAAGAGACTTGTTTTTCAAAATACTATGCAATAGCTCCAAAACACTATTAACCCATTGTTTATAACTTCTATTAAGGCTGTGCTAGTCTTACCTGGACATACTCCCTATACACCTAAGTACTTTGTACCTTTGTACTATTGCTTCATCCAGTTCACATGGCAACCATCTCTAGTTCTAAGAAACATGCTGTGTTCTCCGAATCAATTCTTGTTAAGTCTTTTTACAGGTCTTATTATAATATTCCATATGCTGGACAAACTGAAATCTTCCAAATCAAATCATTGTTCTTTACTACTTGTTTTGAGTGAGTCACACATAATCCAAGTTTCATACATTTTTTTATATCTTCACTTAAATACATAGCCAAGATACACCCTTAAATATATATGATAAATACATAAAATAAAGGTATGGTTTAACAAGCTTTGGAATCTGCTGAATAAGGATATGTCAATGATAATGATGGTTGAGGAGACTCAAAGGGTTGGATAGACTAGGGTAGTTCTGTGGGATATGCAGGGGAAAGGAATGAAAAGGAAATGAAAGTGACTGACTGAGGGAAAGAGAAAATGCCTTTAGCAAAATGGCATTCCATTGTAAGAAATTTGTTCAAGTATTGTGCTATGAGGATTGTATTCCATCTTTGCTTTGTAATTTTTTTCTTGATAAGTTACTCTTTTTTGGCCTCAGATAATTGTCTCCTGCAAGCTTAGGTAATTATTTATTAAATTTTTATCACATTTTACCTCTGGTCAACTCTAATGCTTCTGCCTTCTATTTTCCTCACAATACGGGAGATGATTTGGGTTGGACTGAGAGAGAATGACTGGCCCAACATCATCCAGCTGGTTTTTATGTTCAAGGGAGGACCAGAATTCATAGTTTCCCTGTTTCTAGCCCAGCTCCTTGTCACCACATCATACTGGCTCTCAAAAGTTGCACTTGAGGGTTCACCTTTTTTATATTTTATTAATTAACTGTATACAATATTATGGATGGTAATACTGAGTTTGAAGATAGTTACACAGACCACCAGGGGCAGGCACCAGATGACCAGTTTAGTTTGTTTTGGAAATGTCAGGTAGTCAGATGTTATTCTATAAGGTTCAAATCATGTTATTCTATGAGGTTCAAATCATGAAATCATGATTTCAGTTCAAGGAACTTTATAGTTTAGATGGCTATACATAGTGCATTGATAGATAGATAGATAGATAGATAGATAGATAGACAGACAGACAGACAGACAGACAGACAGACAGACAGACAGACAGACAGACAGACAATCTTTATTGTCATTTTTTACTGTGGGCACAATGACTCACATTAAAAATGAAATTTAATTGCTTGCTCTCAAAGTGTACACATACATAACACACATTTAAACATACTATATACAACACCCTTACATATAAAGTAACATATAAATATTAATCACTGTCCATCTTGTTACATAATGGAAGGAGGAAGCTTTAGAGTTCACAAGGTTAATATTGTCTGGAACAAAACTGACTGAATCTGGATGTTCTGCTTCGGATACCATGAAGCCTCCTCCCAGAAGGTAACAAGGAAAACAGGTCGTGAAGAGAATGTGTAGTGTCCCAGACAATCTTGTGGACCCTGCTCAAGCAATGCTTATATGCTATGTCCTGGATGAAGGGGAGGGAACTGCCAATAATACTTTCAGACATCCTCACCACTCTCTGCACCACCTGCCTGTCTGAAGCAGTGTTGCTTCCAAACCAGACTGTGATGCTGTATGACAGGATGCTTTCGATCATCCCTCTGTAGAAAGTGATAAGGACAGGGGAAGGAAGATGTGCTTTTCTCATGTGACGTAGAAAATGCAGGTGCTGCTGTGCCTGCTTCACTAGTGTCTCACTGTTGAGTGACCAAGCCAGTTTACTTCTTAACTACACAGGAATATGATACTGGTAACCATCTCCACAGGTGAATCATTAATGCACAGATGAGTGTGGCTGTGCCTGCCTTTTTTGAAATCGACAATGATTTCTTTGGTTTTTCCAATGGTAAAACTAGGCTGTTTTCCTTAAACCAGTTCACCAAACCCTCAACCTCCTTGCGGTAAGCTTGGATATGGCCCACTACTGTTGTATCAGGACCCACTACTGTTGTATCAGCCATTGGTAGATTTATTCATTTATTTATTTGATTTGCAGAACTGCCCACCTCACAGCAGTGACTCTGGGTCATGTGCAAAGATTCAAACCACCATAACAATATAAGGCCATGAAAAGTAACCTTCCAACCAAAGAAGTCGCATTACCAGCAGAGCTCATCTAATTGTCGGGCCCACATCCCTGGGAAACAGCCAGTCCTTCAAAGATTTATGGATCTCTAGGGGAATGTAGTTCCACAGGGCAGGCATGACTCAAAGGTTCAACAAGATGACCCTGTTTGATGACGGATCTGGAGCATGCCTTTGCTGCTGGACCTGGTGCGGTGGGGAGAAACAATGGGTGACAGGCTGTCCTCCAATAGGCTGATCCTTTGCCATGTGGAGCTCTTTAGGCAGTATTCAGCATCTTCAATTGGATCTAGAAGACTATGGGGAGCCAGTGCAGCTTGATCGATGGTACCAAAGGCCACTCAGAGATCAAGGAGGACCACGATGGATATATTTTGAGCCTGCCAATGGGAATATTTAAGAAAGTCTCTTATCAATGCTCAGTCAAGCTAAACCCTTTGTCTTTCTTTCACAGCATTCTAGGCATTTCTTATGCTCTGTCATCATCCAAACTGCCTCTGAAAATCAGGTAACTCTACAAGATGCACATGCATTGGTAGTTCACCACAGGAAGGATCCAGTCCAAGGACAAAAATCACTCTCTTATTTCTAAATAGTTACATTAACACTTTATTACAAATAATAAATATATGGATATTTGATGAATAATCTTTATATAGAAGTAATAATAAATGAATAATTATTATTATAGGAATTCCAATAAACCAAATAAATAACCAGACAGTAACATGGATTTTATGGACTTTTCTGGAGAGAAGAGAGAGCTAGAGGATAAAGAAAAGAATAGACCAGAAATTTATAACAAAAACAAATAAACATATTTTTATCAATCTGTTTGAAAACATAGACAACGTCTTGATAAAATGGACAGAATGAAGCTACAGAACAAAAACATGCTGCAATGAATAATTCTGAGATAAGTTTGAAAGGAGATTCAACATGACAAGCAATGATATTAAGAAAGATATAGACATACAAGTAGATTTGATAAATAATTTATTCCCTAAAGGAGATGTACAGCCATTGAATCAGGAAATGGATTTGGATTATTTTATTTTACTAGATATATAAAAGAATTTTGTTAAGGTCTTTAAGGATTTCACTGGAGGGATCAAACAAAAGGATAAAACAAATCTGTTAAAGTTCTGAAAGATTTGTGGCTACAAAACACATGAACAAGAACACTTGCTCTGGGCTTTTTCTGAAGGAATAAAAAAGCGAGAACCCTTAAAAATTCAAAGAAGATCAATAGAATCAGCTTATTTGATTAGGGCTAAAAGAGAAAAGTTATATCTGATTTGCCTTATTGGACTTTTGCTGACAAGGGACAATTGACAAAATATTGGGTTTTTTTAAAATTAAGAGCTTAACTACATGGGGAAGGGACATTATGTTATTTTTAGAGATGATGACAAGCTATTTAAATTGTTGGGTTTTTTACTTGCTGGGATGAAGACGAAAAATTACTCTTTATGTTTTTTCTTTTTTCTTTCTTTTTCACACATTTTCTTTTTGTAGTTTGTATTTACTTTTATTTCTTTCATTTATAATTTTAATAAAATTTGAAAAACTAAATACCAATAAAAATGATTCAATTTTTATTTACAGGAATTACCTTACAGAAATAATTTTAGGTTTTTAAACATTCCTTACAATTCTCAGTGAGATTGGTTTATAGCAGTCTTTATGAACACATTTAAATGAAAAGTATTTTTTACTGCTGTTGGGATATAAGTGGAGACTACTTAACATGTGGGTTTTCTTTTCCATACAGTATAGGCATCTGGGATCTTTGGAATGGAATTAAAAGATAATAGCTTTTTAAGCTTTACTTCTGCCATTGATCCAGAAATGAAGGCTATTATAAAGCTGAGTTGCATAGTCAGCCAGATATTTAGACTCGATTT